GTTTGAAGCTTCAAATTATCAAACCCTTTATCGAATGATAATGTTCACGTCAATTCACATCAAGGAACCCTAGTGAAAGGCAGCTAGGTCACAGTATAATAGAGGCTAATTACAGGACGACACGAAGCAGGAAAAATAAACAAAGCCGCCAACTGTCTTTCAAAACATGATACAGCGACTGCATTCTACGTAGGTACCCTAATCGATTTGTCATATAATAAGATTTCTACTATCAGTATTAAACCGAAATTTGAACAACATATAAAAAAAACTTTCAAATGAAGTACTACTCCCAGGTTCTAGGTCGGGACACAAGCAACATTGTTCATTAACCACTTGCACAACAGAGATCGAACTGCTGAGCTCATTTTCAACAACGTCTTTAGCAGTATGCCAAATCGACTATCTCCTTGAACAAACTGACATGGCTGAGATTGACATCACCATTATTCATCATGGCAGTGAGACAATTTGTCTTTCAGTGACTATACAATTCGATAGTGTTGTGAACTATGTTGACTATAATGGAGTTTTATTGATAAATGACTTTTAATCACTAATTTTCAGAATCAGAATCTTAAGAAAATTTTAGATTTTTGCAACCTTGGTTGAATTCAAGAGTTTATGAAACTTGAACATATGGTTATGAGTGATTAGTAGAATGATGGAAATTCAACAATAGCTTCCCATGGAAATATGATTCCGATCGAGTGGCAATCAGTGAATTATTTGTGAGTTACATTCAACACATTGAACTATAGGTATGTAAGGGTATTCTTGATGGTTTCAGGAAGATGTCTTGAATGAGATAATAATGATGTTCCACACATCTCAGAGGACAGTAACATCTTCAGAAAATTTCTGATTTTTGCTACCTTGGTTGAATTCCAGAGTGTATGAAACTTGACCTTGCGATCAAGGGTGATCAGGAGAGTAATGGAAATTGAACAATCAGTTTCCAGGAAAAATGATTCCGATCAACAAGCAATCAGTGAATTATTTGTAGATAGATAGATAGTAGATAGATAGTTTATTTGACTATATCATATACATATGCATATTCATAGCAGGTTATTTGTGTCTCAGAATAAAATTTTGAAAACAATAAAATGAAAGTTTGAAAATAATAAAACATCACCATTACACAAGAACAAACATACAAAGGTTAATACATTATAAATATTTGTGAACTAATTCTAATGAACAATCGGTAAGTATGTTCTTAAAGGAAAAAGGTAGCACCTGGAATATTTTCAACGTATTCATCGATAGAATAAAAACTATTATTTGACAGATACGATTTGATTGTTCGTTTGAACTCATTCATATTTAAGATTTTAACTCGATGTGGCAGTGCATTATAAAGATTGAAATCTAAAGAATTTTTTTGTGAAACAGAGAGCCTATATCTAGGGATTCTGATATTATCAGAATTCCTAGTGTTATGATGGTGGACATCAGCCTGTGTAGTGAGATTAGACGATATTTTATGGATTTCAAGAAGTGAATTGTAAATATATAAAGACGGAAGAGTCATAATTTTGAATTTGGTGAATAACGGTCTACAGGTATCTCTATATCCTACATTACCCAATATTCTTATCGCTTTTTTTTGAAGAATGAAAATAGCACTTGCAGCTGAAGAATTACCCCACAGTATAATTGCGTAGCCCATATGAGACTGGAAAAGTGAGTAATACACTGTGCTTAAAGTTTCAAAATTTGAAACATGTCTGAGCTGACGTAAAAGAAACAATGAACTTGACAATTTATGCTTCAAATGTTCTATATGGGAATTCCAAGTCAATCCCTGATCCAAGGTGACACCGAGTAATTTTACCTCTCGTTTCTCTTCATTATGCTGACGAGTACGGAAGAAGAGCCTCTGAGACTTGTCATTATTAAGTTTTAGATTGTGAGCTCTGAACCATGTCTCAACCTTTCCTTCAATTTCATTAGACCTTTCTAATAAACTATGATAGTCTGGACTCGAACAAATAAATGACGTGTCGTCAGCAAAAAGGACACATTTAAAGGGGGTCATGAAACTGCTCAGCTCATTGACATAAATAATGAATAGAAGTGGCCCCAAGACAGAGCCTTGGGGCACACCATGATACATTTCTTTATAATCGGATGTTTCATTATTGAAATGAACAGTCTGAAATCTATTTCTCAGATAAGAATCAAAAAGGGAAAGTGCAATTCCTCTGATGCCATAAAAATGTAGCTTTTTCAGTAGAATATCATGAGCGACACAGTCGAAGGTCTTTGACAGGTCACACAACGTAATAGCTATATGATTTCGCTGCTCGAGGCCCTCGACTATGCCACTCACTAGATCCATTACTGCCGCTGTGGTTGAACGACCAGCTCTAAAAACCAAATTGCGAATCACAAAAATAATTGTTATGATAATGTATGAGTTACATCCATCACATTGAACTATAGCTACGCAAGGGTTATGGGTATGAATATTATTGATACTACATACTGTTTCTAGAACAGAACAAAAACCTCCACACGGTCAAGTATCCACAGAGTACTATTTAAAGTAGGAACTATGAACCAAAAAGGTTTTCTGCTCACTGAAGCACACTTTGAGGCCCCAGCGATACTTAATGTACCCCAGTCAATTTAGGTTTTGACCCGGACATCGATAATTACTAAACGGGACCTTTTTCAGTTCGTTAAAACACCTTTAAGAAACACCCTCATGAAAGTCCCACGACGTTCTAAGTGGAATAGCGAAAATATGAAGGAAAAACTAGATGAATTATGCTCAAAATCAACAATTTTAATATTATCTCCTTATTGGTGGATCCAAGCTCAATTATACCTATCATCAATTTTATAGGAAACAAAATTCTCTACAAGTTTTATACGAAATAATTTTTCATACGACCAATATTGAAAGAGCTGCAGCGCTTTGAAATAGGGCAATTATCGAAAATACCATAATCGTTCGGTTGTGAATGACATTTTGCATGAATATTTTTTCATTCATCAAAAAATGATCAAAAGCACAGAATATTCCTTCTGTGATGAATTTGGGATCAATAATAACGATTTCATTTGTTCGCATCAGTTACGTAATTCCTCGGATTTCTGAAGTTCACCTGGCAATTAATAATATTTTGTTACAGTAGTAATAATAATAGCTGCTGACAAAGTAATCGAAATTTCAGTAAAATTAGGTTTTCACTCGGATATTGATAATTATTACTAAACACGGACCTTCTCTCAATATGTTCGGATGCCTTACGGGATGACGCTTAAGAGAGTCCTACGACCTCTTCAGTGAGATAGCCAAGATATCCTGGAAAAACCGGATTTTCAAGGAAATTCCTGGAGCATGCCTGAAATCGTTATTAATAAAGCTATTTCTCTACATTTCATATGATTTTTTTATTGCAATCGAATGAATAATAAGGATAATGCCCACTAAACATAATAACATAACTCAAACATAAATGTGATATTACAATGTGACTTTGTGATGTTATTTAGAGATATGCTTGATATCACAGTTACGTCGCGGCAATCGACGTATGTGCCTCTTATAAATATTGCAATGTAATGTTGATGGTAAATATTATATAAATATATCAGGAATCACATAAAATCAATGTTACTTCATAACGTATATTTAATGTAACCCAAAACATCTGAACAATATTGTATATTAACATTCTAATTAGTTTCTAGGAGTTTTTAGGTTATGTCTATTTTGTCTGGAATCATCAAGAAAATCATCTGAATGATCTTCAGAAAAGACATCAGAGAAGATGAACTATTCCTAAATATGAATTGATCTAAACGAACTCCTGAAAAACTATACGTATGATCTAGTTACCCAGTGATGATTTGAGACAGATTGACTACTATTTTCTTGAGTATCATTTCAGTTATTCTGCCTCATAAATCTAGTCAGTCCAGCTATATGATTTCTGCATAATCCAGTGATCCCTTACTGAAATTCTGAAAAGTAATAGGTAAATATATTTCTATAAGTACGAGTTGTTGGGAGTTTTCAAAATCATTTTGAAATTCTATTCTATGTTCTTCTTCTAGCTATGATATATAACTCACCCATTATTTTTGTAATTCGTGAAATATGAACACAATCCGTATTCACGAATCCGTCCTACTTTTTCACATATTATGAAATGCAGATACAGATTGGTTGCATTTCTATATTCCAGCAGAGCAAACCTGGAATATTGGTAAGTAGTTATCATGAGCAATTCATTGTTGTTTCGAGTTTGAGTCCAAGACTTGTTTAGTTCTTCACTTACTTTGATAACTATACGAATAATACCTGAAAATCAATATTTTCACTGATCACACTATTTGACTTCTTCACCATAATAGACAACAAACAAAATGGCTGGAGTGGAATTGAATTGACTTTTGACAGTTGACAAGATTACTTTGCCGTAAAAGAACAAATATCATCTCCTTGTATCCTGTATGCATGTAAGCTACGTTATAAGGTGGTGAAACGAAAACGTTGCACAAAGAACATACAAACTCTGTCTGAGATATATCTGATAAACCTGAAATCAATATATCACAATATTATCTAATGATATTGATGGTGCAAAGATTGCGGCAAATATGGTACTTACGCACATCATACCGGGATTCTTTCAATCTTAGACATTCTACGAAGAGAAGGAATACTTGCAGGTTCAAGAAAACAAGATGGAATTATATTAACCCGTAGATTTCATAGAGGTCATCTTGTATTTCATTTGATAGATAGTAAAAACCGTCTTTACCTCATTTTTCTCATATTGATGCGATGTCTCATAAACGTTTTACTCCATAATATTGTGTTGGATACTTCAGAAGGACATTATCGCAATGTTATTCCAACAATATCACAAAACTTATAACTGAAAAATATTTTTGTTATGTATCATGTTTAGTGGGTGGTTTCATCTAATTGTAAATAGTAATACAAATAGTTTTTATTACTTCGCGAGCTAGAGTCTTCAAGCGAGGCTGAGTTCCACATCGGTTTCTGAAACAAAATTATTATAAATAAAACAATAACACATCCTCAAATAGAGGAAAGAGAAGCAATTATGGATGTTCGGTGGCGTACCAGTACACGCGATCGGCTCGAGGTCTTTTTCCGGATGGTCGACGTTGTCCTCGTCCTCTTCTCTTGACGTATTACTACATCCATGCCCCGCGCAGTACCCGCAGATGTTCGAACACACCATCTTGTGCCTTCTGCACGTACATTTTTTGGATTCACAACCTTGTGTGCAGTTACAAGATACCATTTCGAGAAGGCGGTCTGGAGCCGGCTTACTTCGGTTGGTCACTGGGCGTAAGTGACCCTCTTCGTTCTCCTCGAATCCCCAATCAGTGGGCGGTAGAGGATTTCCTAACCATTCCTGGACCTGCAAGTACAATCTATGTGCAGTGAATATATTCAAAAAATATACTGAATGAACCGACTTTTTGAATGGAACTAACCTGAAGATAGACTCGTAATGAGTGCTCTCTACTTGACGATGATGTTGGAGGCAGCTGGGCCAGATCAAATATCTTGTTGGCAGGGAGCCAAGAATTGATTTTCACATACATCTGGAACCTTCTCTTTCCAAGATCATCCGAGGTTTTCCCTGGATACAGAGACATAATGAACATCTCTCCAGCAGTGGCAATGTCGTCTGGTGTGGCGTTTGGTGAGTTGAACAATCCAACTCGCAGACGTAATGCCTCATCTTGTTGCAAGCGCCTGAACGGCTTCAATTTACCAATATTAAATATATCACTAGTTTTAGCAGCGTGTATGTAGAGTATAAATTCTTTCATTGGTCCTAAGAACTCCTGACATTCCTTGCTGCTATCCCTGCCAAAAATGTCTCATAGAAACTTATAAAAAAATATATATGAGAATTAATGAGAATGAAGTTGGATAGTGAAACAGTAATTCCGTATAATCCTATGTATTTTGCAGATCCATATATAATCAGTTTCTAATGGCGATTCTCTCCCTTCTTCTTAAAAGTATGAACTGTTTTTCGCAGATATATTCATAATCAGTTCCTACTAGTAATTCCTGGTTATTTACATATGAGAATATATCAGAGTCAAGTTGGATAGTGAAACAGTAATTTATAAGCTCGAAATGTATTCTGCAGTTACATTTATAATCAGTTCCTAATGGCAATCCTCAATGGAGTCGATGAGTTTGAACTGTAATTCACAGATACATTCATAATCGGTTCTAAATGGCAATTCCTTATTAAAACATCGTAATTCATGATTTTGAAATGTGTTCTGCATGTACATTCATGACCGGTTCCTAATAGCAATTTCCAACGAAGTCTTTGAGTATGAACTATGTTTTACAGATACATTTATAATCAGATTTTGATGGCAATTTCTCATTGAAACACTGTGGCATTCATGAGAATGGAATGTGTTCTGCATATACATTCATGATGAGTTTCTATTAGCAACTCTATGAGTATGAACTCTGTTCTGCAGATACATTTGAAATCAGTCCCTAATTGCAATTTCTTATTGAATTAACGTGGCATTTATGAGTTTGAAATGTGTATTGCAGATACATTCATAATGAGTCCCTTATAGCAATCATCATCAGTTCCTAATTGGAATTCCCCATTGGAACACCGTAGCATTTATCAGTTCGAAATGTGTTTGACAGGTACATTCATGATGGGTTTCTATTGACAGTTCTTCATGTACTCAATGAGTATCAGCTGTGTTTCACAGATACATTTATAATCAGTTCTTAATAGCAATTCTTTTCGAAGTCTTTGAGTATGCACTCTGTTCTGCTGATACATGTATAATCAGTTCCTGATTGGAATTTCTCATTGAAATACCGTGGCATTCATGAGTTGAAAATGTGTATTGCAGATACATTTATAATGGGAATTTTTGAGTATAAACTGTTTTGCAGATACATTCACAATCAGTTCCTTATTATAATTTCTTATTGAAATACCGTGGCATTTATGAGTTTGAAATGTGTGTTGCAGATACATTCAGAATGAGTTTCTTATATCAATTCCGTATGAACTCTATTAGTATAAACTCTGTCTTGCAGAAACATCCATGATCAATTCCTAATCGGAATTCCTTATTGGAGCACAGTGGCATTTATGAGTTTGAAAAGTATCCTGCTGGTACATTCATAATCAATACCTAATAGCAATTCCTCAGGAACACTTAGAATATAACTCTGTTTTGCAGATACACTTATCATCAGTTCCTAATTGGAATTCCTCATTGAATTACCGTGGCATTTATCAGTTTGAAATGTGTTTCACAGGAACGATCATAATGAGTTCCTATTGGCAGTTTTCCACGTACTCTATGAGTATAATCTGTGTTTCACAGATACATTTATAATCAGTTCCTAATAGCAATTTCTTTCGAAGTGTATGACAATAAACGCTGTTTTGCAGATACATTAATTATAATTAGTCCCTATTCGGGATTTTATTCAAATACCTTGGCATTTATGAGTTCAAAGTGTGTATTGCAGATACATTCATAGATAGCTTATTATAGCACAGTCATATGAGATCTACGAGTATGAATTCTGTTTTGCAGATACATTTCATAATCAGTCACTAATCGGAATTTATCACTAAAATACCGTGGTATTTATGAGTTCAAAATGTGTATTGTAGATACATGCATTCATAATGGGTTCATCATAGCAATTCCATATGAACTCTGATTTGCAGATAGATTTATAATCAGTTCCTGATCAGAACTCCTTATCGGAATGCAGTGGCATTTATGAGTTTGAAATGTTTATTGCAGATACTTTCATAATCACTTCCTCATAGAAATTCCATATTAACTCTATGAGTATGAACTGTGTTCTGTAGATACATTCATAATCAGTTCCTGATCAGAGTTTCTCATTGTACTACAGTGGCATTTATGGGTTTGAAATGCGTTCTGCAGGTATATTCATGATCAATTCCTGATGTATAACTCTGTTGTGCATATACACTTATCATCAGTTCCTAATTGGAAGTCTTAATTGAAACAGCGTGGCATTGATTAGTTTGAAATGAGTACAACATATCTATTCATAAAGAGTTACTATTGACAGTTCTTCAGTATTTTGTACTGAACCCCTGCTTATTTTTTCATGTATCATTCGATTTTGTTTCCAAGAACGATCTCTCATATTTTTTCTGTATAAATCAACAGAAAAACAGTTGAACTTTTGAAAAAATAGTCAGTTTTTTCATTGGCATATATGAAATTTGAAAATTTAAAGGAAGAGTATTGAAGAAAGTTTCTTGGATAAATAAAATTGACAATACATAAAAAAGTTGAGTAGGGGTTCTAAATATTCGTGAATACCCTGTACAGGCTGTCCCATTTTCGATGTCATAACGGGATAGGTATCTCATTTATTTTCTAAAATAGGGATTTTCCATTTTCGCAAACGTGGGCTTCTTTTTAGTGAAACTCACGATACCCTTAACCAAGTTTTTGTAGCCCGCTGCCTTTTTGAGATACAGGGCGAAATTGAAAATGCTGCATTTCGGGACCCTTCTTGTATCTCAACCATCTCCCAATTCATCGAAAAAGTCGAAAGTGTTTGTCATACATTTTTTCACGTAGAATCCAGTGGCGTAATCAGAATTTCAGAATAAGCTGCTATTATCCAGATATAATCAATCCAAAGATATGTTTTTTCAAATGGAACATCACGCATATTTTTCCTCATTTGAAACATTGATGCTTTTCGCTTTTCAAAAATATACAACTTATATTTCTAGTCTTAGCCCAACATTCTGATAAATTCTAGTTTCTCAGTAGACTTTTCATCGATTGAACTTGTAAATATCTGGCAACATTGTCCATATCATAAATTTTCATATTTGCCTTGTTGCTGATACAGTGTTTCGTCACACACTAGATTCAATTTTTACCAACAATAAACATTCACCAATATTCAGCAGTATTTATTGAATATAAAAGCTGTGGACCTAATGAGTAGGTGGCTATGAAGAAAAGCGAGTGCAGAATGTTTTATAATATTTGTCACATACCTCTGTAGAATTTACAATTTTTTCATACAGCGGCGAATAATAATCCAGGATATCAGAACCACAAAAATTTGAAACCAACTCATTTTATATCACAACCATTTCTAATTTTCGTATCCTGGATTAGTATTCGCTATCGTATGAAAAATTTGTGAATTCGACAGGGAGGTGGCAAGGATTTAAAAACATTCTACACTCGCTCTGTTTTCATAGCCAGCTACTAATGAGGTCCACATCTTTTAGAGACAATAAATATTGCTGAATATTGGTAGATCTTTAATGTTGGTGGAATTGAAACTAGTGTATGAGAAAACATTGTGTCGGCAGTAAGGTCAATATGAAAATTTGTGATATGGACAATGCATGGTGCCACATATTCACAAGGCCCATCGATGAAAAATCTACTGAAAAACTAGACATTTTTCAAATTCATGCCTTCTACTATATATATATATATATATATATATCGACTAGTAAATAGTGAGGTTTTGCAGCAAGTAAAAGAGAACTCTTTGAAGATTATCCAAGCTTTCGGAATTTAATTGATTCCATCATCAGGGCATAATCTACGTGAGGATGATTACTATGATGTGAGCTAGCTCAAGTTCAAGTTCAAGTTCAAGTTTTTAACATGTGTGATTGTAACTTTACTACTGTTTTATTTTAATTGTTAATTGTTTTATAACTTTACAAACAACTTCGTTCCTGGATGATGTATCACAATTCATTTTTGAAAATTATTGTTAACATCATAGTAATCATCCTCACGTAGATTATGCCCTGATGATGGAATCAATTAAATTCCGAAAGCTTGGATAATCTTCAAAGAGTTCTCTTTTACTTGCTGCAAAACCTCACTATTTACTAGTCGATACCTAACTAGTCAGCAACGACTACCCTTCTACTATATATATATATATATATTATCGCTTGGAGCGCACGAAAGGGAATCCCTATTATGTTCAAAGAACATCGTGCGTTCCTAATTTGATTACGGATACAAAGACTCATCGATTATATGAACCTATCAAAATCCTGAAATATACTGAAATAAGAACATTCATGACATCTTCCAGGATAGCTCAGTATTGATCGAAGTTCTGATTCCTCAATAATTCAAAATAAAAAATAACTCACAAGAAACCAATGCCATTTGGTTCCGTGAATTCTCGAAAATCAATTGTCTTATGAAAACTCATGAAATTCATTGCATATTGGGATAGTGATGTCTTATACAATCTCATTTGTTTTCAAATATTTCATTCCACATACATTCAATGAGGATTCAATGTAATCGGATCTGTGGTTCCTCATTAGACGGTATGAATTCCTGGAAGATATTTTGCTTATAACAACCTGTAAGATACGATTGTAATCAACACTGAATTTCACCATTGAAACTTGTAAATTAGGAGTCGTTTTGAATCATATTAATGCTCATAAAAAACGCATTGAATCAGATGCGGGATTCCTTATTACAGCTAATAAATGCTGCTCTCACTGTTTCCTGTCTTTCCACACGATATCATATACGATTATATTCGTTGATTTCTACACATATATCATACCTTCTCAGGCTCGTGAATGAGCAATGAAATATAATTGAGTATCGTGATTGGAAACCTTATACAAACAACTAACAAGATACAAAGTTATGTGTTAAATTGTGCCAGTCATTTTTAACCTTCAATCATTGAAACATATGAACCTTACAGGAACTTATAGAATCCTATATATATCAGCAATGAATTGTCTATTTCAAACTCAAGAATCCTCATTAATCCAAATTAGCAATGAGGAT